TTTGGGAAGCAAACTGCCGGGAAACATCTGCTGGGCCTTCTGTGCGGAGAGGAGCAGCAACCAGGAGCTCAGTGTCACAGTCTCCTGCAATAAAAGCTTTCTCAGTGGGCCTCCCCCCCCCCCCAGCCTGCCGGTGCCTCCGATTGGGTGCTGCCAAGATGCGGCATTATCAAGCAAAGCCCTCTGGCAGGACTTTCTCTGTGTCTGTTGCAATGCCGTCTGATGCGTTTGCAATGCCAGTTGGCCAGCATGAATGCCCATCGCCGTGATTCTTCCTTAATCTGGTTATAAAAAAAACTATTCTTCTCGGTCTGGTTTTGCAAGCACTTTCCTTCAGTACAACTATAGATCTAATTGGGGCTGAGCCAAAAGTGTGCAATGTCTTGTGAAAAACTTTTGCTCCCCAGTGAATTGTACCCCTCTCCGTGTGTGTGTGTGTGTGTGTGTGTGTGTTTGTGAAGTGTCTGTGTGTATGTCCCTGGCCTGCAAAAGGGGACAAAATTGTTTTTATTATCTTGTTAGCTCTATTTGTAGCCCGAGTTGTGTTAAAATGGATCTCAGAGTTGCAGGATGCAGTGCACACATAGCAGTGTTCCAGTTAAATACACTTATTTAATCAAATTAACAATAAGAGCAGTGTGAGAGCTTATCCCTTCCCACTATGTAAAGGTAAAGGACCCCTGGACGGTTAAGTCCAGTCAAAGGCAATTATGGGGTGCGGTGCTCATCTCGCTTTTCAGGCTGAGGGAGCCGGCGTTTGTCCACAGACAGCTTTCTGGGTCATGTGGCCAGCATGACTAAACCGCTTCTGGAGCAACAAGGCACTGTGATGAGTGCCAGGGCTCACGGAAATGCCATTTACCTTCCCGCCGCAGTGATACCTATTTATCTACTTGTACTGGTGTGCTTTTGAACTGCTAGGTTGGCAGGAGCTAGGACAGAGCAGGGATTCAAACTGCCAACCTTCTGATCGGCAAGCCCAAGGGGCTCAGTGGTTTAGACCACAGAGCCACCTGCGTCTCCCTCCCACTATGTAACCCAGGGCTTCCCTGCCTGGTGAGCTCTTCACTCTGATGCATTTAGAGCTCTTCCCATCCTCAGAGCCCTTCTGAGATCTATTTATTTAAGCAGTCTTACTTCCCTCCCACTATGTAACCCAGGGCTTCCCTGCCTGGTGAGCTCTTCACTCTGATGCATTTAGAGCTCTTCCCATCCTCAGAGCCCTTCTGAGATCTATTTATTTAAGCAGTCTTACTTCCCTATTAATCCCTTTATTATCAGGTGAGCAATTAGCTTCTCTTCCCCATCAGTTAAACACCTCCCCATGATTTGCCACTCGGGTGGCTAGACCTCAGATTGCTGCCTTCCTCTCAAGCTGTGCCTAAGTCACCGTGGTGAAGTTTGCCCACAGCCTAATTCCTGTTTCTCCCACTCCTTCTTTGCCTTTGCTTCCTCCCTCCCTGGAACCCCCTCTAAATATGCTACAACTTTATCCCCTGGATGGTTAATTTTCCCTTCTTCTCCAGCGAGGAGACTTCCCCAAGCAAGCTATCTCATAAAACAAGCGGTTAGTGCTCTGCATACTAATGACCCTTTTGCATATAAACTGATTTTTTTTTAACACCCTGAATAGAAAATCCACACTGCAGAAGTCTCACCTCTAGATCTAAGGAAACAAAGAGGTCCTTCTGCAGGTCTTTCTGTTAGAGGGGTACCTTGGTTCTCGAACTTAATCCATTCCGGGAGTCTGTTCAACTCCTGCAACCGTTCAAAAACCAAGGCCGGCTTCTGATTGGCTGCCGGAGCTTCCTGCGCTCAAGCAGAAACTGTGTTGGATGTTCAGCTTCTGAAAAACGTTCGCAAACCAGAAAACTGACTTCCGGGTTTTGTGGTGTTCAGGAGCTATTTTGTTCTGCAACAATGCATTCGGAACCAAGGTTTGACTGTATACAGTGGTACCTCGGGTTACATACGCTTCAGGTTACATACGCTTCAGGTTACAGACTTTGCTAACCCAGAAATAGTACCTCGGGTTAAGAACTTTGCTTCAGGATGAGAACAGAAATCGTGCGGTGGCGGCGCAGCGGCAGCAGGAGGCCCCATTAGCTAAAATGGTGCTTCAGGTTAAGAACAGTTTCAGGTTAAGAACGGACCTCTGGAACGAATTAAGTATGTAACCCGAGGTACCACTGTATTGGGGTTTTAAAAGCAATGTATGGTTTTACAGCGCTGGTAATGTCTCTGGTAACAGAGAGCTGCCAAGCAAGCAGTAATTAAGCAGCAGCAGCTCCCTTAATTGAACTACACGACCCAGCTGCCCAGCAAATTGGCTGCATGCGTAATTCAGGCTTCTATCGTTTTTAAAATAATGTCAGGCAGACAAAAATAGACAAAAATGTACCTTTGCGCAGTGATAGGGAAAACGGTGCCGGAACTCACCATGAAGTTGTTACAGCAAGCAGCACACTCATAACCAGTGCTTTTCTTCTAGAAAAAGAAGGTGCCATTTCTGCGTACCCCTGAGTACCCCTGGGGGGTTTGGGACAGTGCTGCCGTTGTGGTAAGTGAGTTTGGAAGAAAAACAATCAGTCTAATACAGTGCATAAAGACATACAGTGGTACCTTGGTTCTCACACTTAATCTGTTCCAGGAGTGCGTTCGACTCCCGAAACCATTCAAAAGCCAAAGGCGCAGCTTCCGATTAGTTGAAGGAGCATCCTGCACTCAAGCAGAAGTCACGTCGGATGTTCGGCTCCCAAAAAACGTTCACACACTGGAACACTTATGTTATGTATTAAGATTAGTGGCAGTTCTCACTCAGGGCCACCAGTATGTAAATGAAGGATTGAAAACTGTTGCTCCTGATTGGTTAGCTAGTTGTGAGTTATTACTGTTTCAAGTTACTTAGTATTATATAAAACAGCCAGCTAGGTTGCAGTCAGCCTGATTCCAGGAGCAGTTCTAACTGCTGCAGTAAAGAGCTGTGAATCCAACAGAGCTGTGTCCTTTGTCCATCTTTTCCACTATTCAACAACTTACTTCTGGGTTTGCAGTGTTTGGGAGCTGATTTGTTCAGGAGCCAAGCCGTTTGAATACCCAAGGTATCACTGTATTGGCTTTCTTCAGATGTCGGGGTGAGCTATAGTTTAGTGGGACACGAATGAGCCTAGAGAGGCTCGGTCTTGTTTACCCCCTTCCGCTATTTATTTATAAAAAATACTTGTATCCCACAATTTCATTTTTTTAAATAAAAAAAAAATCAAAGCAGTTATATCTATGTGATAAAAGCCACATAAAAATGGAAAATCACAGACCTCCAGTTAACTATTAGTATTAGACTACATATTAGGGACGCGGGTGGTGCTGTGGGTTAAACCACAGAGCCTAGGGCTTGCTGATCAGAAGGTTGGCGGTTCGAATCCCCGCAACGGGGTGAGCTGCCGTTGCTCGGTCCCTGCTCCTGCCAACCTAGCAGTTCAAAAGCACGTCAAAGTGCAAGTAGATAAATAGGTATCACTCCGGCAGGAAGGCAAACGGCATTTCCGTGCACTGCTCTGGTTCGCCAGAAGCAGCTTAGTCATGCTGGCCACATGACCCGGAAGCTATACGCCGGCTCCCTCGGCCAGTAAAGCGAAATGTGCGCCGCAGCCCAGAGTCGTCCGCGACTGGACCTAACGGTCAGGGGTCCCTTTACCTTTACATAAGCCTAGTAGCATTAAAATGTTTTCAGGAAATACTTAAAGGTTAAAACAGAAGGCTGAATCTCTGTTGGAAGATCCTTCCAAAGAACTCGGCTGATGACACTAAAGGCTTGGCTTCATGTTGATGTCAAACTAGTCTTGCCAATTTGGAGAACTACCAGTGATGGAACTGTAGATAATCTCAGTGATCAAGCTAGGATAGCAGGTTTATATGCTTTATTTGGACTGATTTATGTTGGCGATGGAAATTTGCTTCATATCATTTCCATCTCTGCTTCCAAAGGTCTCATCCTGTAATTTCAAAGTGAGACCTGGAGAATTTTAGGGACTTTTATTGCCATGGAATTCTACTCAATATGATCCACCACAGAACTCCAACATATAGTTAGCAGAGTAAAAACTTAAACACGTTGCAGGATTCCCGAAAAATAGACCAGCAGCAATTGTCTTTCACCCAGCAGAGCTTTACTGCTACTGAAGGCAAATGAAGAAAATGGTCACAAATCCAATACATTCAGGATTGGCACTGTCCATAAGAAATCCAGTTGCAGCAGACTTAACTTAAAATTACATTAATTTACAATAAGTCTAAACCTTAGCACTAAGCATACTATGTACAGAACACCACATTAGGAGGGAAAGAAAGAAAGAAAGAAAGAAAGAAAGAAAGAAAGAAAGAAAGAAAGGTAAAGCCCAGGCTCCTTCTGGCCCTACTTTTATAGTCAGCATGACCTTGACAGAAGAGATAAGAGAACCAATTTAAACCAGCTGTACTCAGCTTCTCTGAAGGAATAACCCAAACACCATGAATCTTCTCCTTGTTTATTTCACATAGAGAAGCTTCCAGAACCCTTCCAGAGCCAGTGTGGTGTAGTGGTTAAGAGCGATAGACTAGTAATCTGGTGAACCGGGTTTGGGTCTCTGCTCCTCCACATGCAGCTGCTGGGTGACCTTGGGCTAGTCACACTTCTCTGAAGTCTCTCAGCCCCACTCACCTCACAGAGTGTTTGTTGTGGGGGAGGAAGGGAAAGGAGATTGTTAGCCGCTTTGAGACTCCTTAGGGTAGTGATAAAATGCGATATCAAATCCAAACTTCTTCTTCTTCTTCTTCTTCTTCTTTCTTCTTCTTCTTCTCTTGAATTAATTAGGATAGGAAAGATCTCTACACATCAGATCAATGCTTTCTGCACTAAAAAATGCAAACCATCAGTCTTTGGGCCATAACTGTGTCATAGAATTGTAGAGTTGTAAGGGACAACGAGAGTCATCTAGTCCAGCCCCTTGCAATGCAGGAATCTTTTAAGCCAGAATGAGGCACCAACTCACAACCCTGAGATTAAGAGTCTCATGTTCTACCAACTGAGCTGTCCCACATAAAGTAAAGTTTGATCAGCAGGTTGCACACTGAGGACGATTCTGGCAGTTGCTCTTAATACTGAAGACAGACGTTTTAGCAGGTTTGGGCTTGGAGAGTCATAATGTGCTATTTTGACTCTTGTGAAGAAAGAATGGAAGGGGCTGGTTCATCTTTTGTCTAATTTGCTTTGACCTGGGTGCAGCTTGCTGCTGCCTTTTAAAGGGCAACGATCAAGTTGCAGCCAGGCCCAGTTTCAAACCTAATTTTCGGCTGGACTCAAACCGAATATTCAGCTAGAAACTGTATTTGTAGCCAAGGGTCTAACCTAGGGCGGCTCTACCATTAGACAGATTGAGACAGCTAGCCTCGGGCTGCTGATTTTGAGTGTCATAAAAAAACCAAAACCCTAGCAACTTATTCGTTAATTTAACATTGCTATATTTTTACTCGTGGAGAGAGGTGCTTGTGAGGTATTCTGCTTCGGGTGGCAGAATAATGTGGTCAGCCTTGAGAATGGTATAGCTTGATGGGAGGGTGGTGGCCTCATTTTACTCTTTTGACTGCAGCCCTGGATCTAACCTTTCATTATGGTGCCTAGGGAACAACTTGCACCTTAATATCAGCAAGACAAAGGAGATGGTGTTGGACTTTCGGAGGAAGAGAGGAGAACCAGTACATCGGGGAGGGCTGTGTGGAGAGAGTCTCTTCCTTTAAATTCCTAGGAGTTTATCTCAGTGAAGACCTAACTTGGAAAATCAATACAACCCAGGTGGTTAAGAAAGCCCAACAGAGACTCCATCTCCTCAGAGTATTGCAGAAGAATGATGTCAATCAACATTTGATGATCTCCTTCTACCGGTCAACAATAGAAAGTGTCCTTTCATACTGCATCACAGTGTGGTACGCTGGTTTGACATCAACTGATAGGAAGTGCCTACAGAGGGTGTTGAATACAGCACAAGATATTATGGGCCGTCCCGTGAATCCGCTGGATGAAATAGCAGAAGAACGTTGCCTCAGGAGAGTGAGGAAAATTCTCAGGGATGATTCACACCCTGGCTGGCACTTTTTTGATCTCTTGCCCTTAGGCAGAAGATATAGAAACATGATTAGTTGCACCAACAGGGTAAAGAACAGCTTCTATCCATGGGTTGTTAGGCTGCTGAATGAAAAGATAACAACAGGGCAACTGACTTTTGGGTTTGGTGGGTATGCGTTAGTAAATGAGGGGAATTAAGACTAAGAGAGCTGAGTGGAGGGTGCTCATGTAATCTCACTGTATACAAGTTGTACAAGTGACAATAAAGTATTTCAATTTCAATTAGTTCATTTCTGTTGGGATGGATGCACCTGTGGAATGCCTGTGTAAGCTTCATCCTTTCTGTGCTGTGTCCCATAGGGATCTGTGTTCTCTCCAGTACTATTTAACATTTATATGAAACAGTCGGTTGACGTGATCTATAGCATTGGAGCTCCTTAGCAAAACATCTAGGACAAGTGTAGCTGTCTGTCTTACATCACTTCTCCAGGGGTCGAATGGATGAAGGCCAACACACAGAAGCCCTGTGGCCGCAATTGTACTGTTGACTGTTTTACAGTAGCTTTTACGATGGGTTTAAAAAAATGGGTTGATGGTCTGTTTGGTTTTCCTAAGGGTTGCTGCTTAAGAGTATTACATTTCCCTGTGAGTTATTGGAAGCCACTTCAAAGTTTGTGACGAGGTAGAATATAAATTTGCAAAATCAATAGGGACTTGACATAAAAAGGGGCCCACAATATGTGCAAAGGGAAGGGCCTGGTGGTTTCATGAGAGAAGGTGCTCCAGGGTATCCTTTTCAATTAAGTTCAGTTCTGTGGTTACATGGCATCACTTTATGTATCTGAGTGTTAAGGGATACCTGGTTATTTAAGCCATAGATTTCAGCGGCGTGCTGCCAACTGACTTGGCTGGTCCACTAAATGTTCCTGGAGTATTAAAGTATTATAGCCTGGTGCCTCCTTCCCAAAGTCAGGGGAAGCTTCTGCCTGGCTTAGGGAGGGAGTGCAACAGGGTCCAAAAGCCCCCCCCCCACCTTTCCAAAACCTATCAGAGGTGCTGACTTGTGCCCATGATTGAGGGGGCCCAGAGTGCACTGCATGTGTGTGATGTCATGCGTTCGACGTCACATCGTCGGGAGGAGGCCACACGCCTCATCAACATTGAGGGGGCCTGGCCCCCTCCCCACAGTTATTAAGGGGATGGAAGACGCCTCGGCCCTATAGAGTTGGCGCCAGGGTTGCCTGCCATTTGTGGCAAAGGGAAATGGCATCTCTATCTTTGCCTGCAGAATGAAGTGAGGCTGCAGCACCAGAGAGAGCCCTGAAAATATGCTGCCATTGCTCGTTCACATTTTGAGATAATAGGGGATGAAATGCCAAGGATTGCTAATTAAATAAATGCAATTGAAATTGTTTTGCTTAGGCCCTGTTCCTCACCACACCTCCAAGTTGGGCTGGTTTTAAATCACGGTCTACATCGTTGTCAGAAGATCATTAAAAAAACAACAACAAACATTACATCAAGCTCCCTAGCTACTATTTCCTAAATATAAGTGCATGTTGCTTAATATAAACAGTTGACTAGGACAAGCTGATTCTCTTCAAGCGGGAAGAGACCAGGCAGGTTGAGTTTGACTTCATTTGAAAGGCAGAATCGATCTTATAGAATCAAAGAATTAGAGAGCTGGAAAAGACTTCCAAAGGCCATCTAGCCCAACCCTCTCTGCAAAGCAGGAATGAGAAAGAGCAGAGCAGGCTGTGTTGAACCTGCAACTGCTCAGCCACAGCTTGTAACATCCTAGTTTGGAGAGGAGTGCCCAGATTTTGACTCTGCCTTCTGACGAAGAGCAGGGTTGAGGGACCCTGTAGTATTAAGGCTACAGCCACTGCCAATCTTAGTTTTTATGTTTTATTACTTTCAATCGCCTCTCCAAGGCATCAGTTGTCTTGAGTGGTGGAGCTGGGGGGGGGGAGGGCGTTTAGACTAGAGGTCAACTATGCTGGTCACTGTGGGTGCCCATTAAGGTGGGCACCCTTCCTGAGTTTCAGTTGTTGGGGAAGGGGTCAGCATGCTCTTATTGACCAGCACTCTGAAAGGGCACCAAGAATGTGGCACCATGCTTCCATCCCTTGGTGGCAAGGTGTGATGGCCTGGGACTCTGGCTCGGACTCAGAACCAGAGGAGTCTCAGTCTGCACCAGATCCTTTGCCTCAGGCATCATCTGAACCAAGTCTGGGGCCTGACCCTGAAGAGTTCCAGTCTGCACAGGTTCCCCTGCAACAAACACCAGCTGGGCCGAGTCAGGGGCCTGAGCCTGCCCTGGCTCCAGATGCGGGGATTACCTCATTGCCTTCAACTGGGCCATCAATCACAGCTGCTCCACTACTGGTTGGGTCAAGGGAAGCTGAGGCGGCCCCTGGGTCTAGTAACCCACCGATGTCTCCCAAGCTGCAGAGACTAAGGTCTGAGAGAAGGAGAGACCTGAGTATTTGCAGGAGGAGTGCTCACCTTTGGGTGAAACAGGGAGGTGAGTCGCCAGGGGATCAGGACCGGCCGTTACCCTGACAAAGATAAAAGGCTGTCAGACCCTAACCCAGGTTGTGGGAGCAACACTGCTGTATGCCAGATCCTGCCTGAGATCCTGTACCTCTCCTTGCCTGGTTTCCTGCCTCGTATCCTGCCTTGGCCCTGTCGGATGACTCCTAGCAGAACCTTCAGATTCTGGACCAGTCCTGGACCATGTTTCACGGGTCCTGGCCTAGCACACAATGTCAGGGAAACTGTCCTCTTCTACTGTGGAGGACCAACCACACGACTGGGCATCATTCCATACCAGTGGCTCAATGCCAAGATGAGGCAAGCAAGAAGGAGGAACCATAGAATTGTAGAGTTGGAAGGGACCGCAAGGGCCAACCTCCTGCAGTGCAGGTGGGGCTCAAACCTTAAGTGCCAGGGAACTGGACTCCAGACAAGGCACTCCTGCATCTCACCCACAACTTATTTTGGAGATCATTCGTCTTCTCTTGCCCAAGAGGCATCAGTGGCCTTGAGCCCCCATCAGGCTTTGAGAACCACTGTCAAACCACCACCACCACTGATGGCTGGATAATCCACACAGAGGGAAAAGATGCTGTGGTACTTCTTGGGAAGAAAGTGGGGAAAGGAGCAGGTAAGGGATGAAGGGTCAGGGTATCCTCTTCTGCCCCAGGGACTCTCTGACTATTCCCAAAGTATGGCAGAAAAACGTTCTCGCTCCCATAGGAGGCCTACCGCTTCTCTCCATTTGGAACTTCCTAGCTGCATCTTTTAGCAGGACAGATTAGGAAATGGTTACAAAATTTAAACCGAAAGCCACATATATATATATATTTATTTATTTTGTTTAAGTGGAAGTACAGTTTATTGATACTTGACTTCAAGGTTAGAATTGTCAAAACTGTGCTCACTTTCCGAATGCCTATATGTTATCTGATACAGCCTTTTCCTCCGATGTATAATTGGCAGCTTTCCCATAGGAAATGATGGTTATTTGTTCAGAAAAAGCAATTCAGTATCCATCACGTTTGGGAAATGAGAGCTTTTACAAAGGTCAGAATAAAATATGCTCTCAATTATGCTAATGAAAGCTACCACAGTGATCCATGGGAGAGCTAAACGGTTCAGAATTCGTCTCACTGTTTCTTACAGTGAGGTTTTTTGAACATATATTTTTTATTGAGTTTCAGAACAGGCACAAAAAAATAGAATGAAATCAGACTGTAAATTCAGAACTCAAAAACACCAGTTTTCCCCTTGCAACGCAGCACCCAGTGACCCCCACACCCCCTCATTCCCCAGAAAACTTAATGTCATCAGCAAAGATTATTCACAGAATTTGGTTACAGAAAGAACAGGCAGAGGTTCTCAACATGTGGGTCCCCAGATGTTGTTGGACTACAACTCCCATCATCCTTGAGCTCTGGCCTTGCTAGCTAGGGG